TTTAAGTAAGGGTCTCATACTTGGCTAGCGTATTCAACCTGAAAGCGGACCAGCGCCTTATAGGCCTTTTGTTTGATGTTAGAGGATGACATTTTGAGATTGCGCCTCTGTCACATGCTCCAACTCGTGACCATGTAGTATGTAGGGATGACAGATGGGATGTCTATTCCTTGTGACAGAGAGGACCTGGCATTTCTCAGGGTGGAAAGCCATCCTCCATTTAATCTCCCAAAGCGCCAGCTTATCAAGATCTCTTTGCAGGGTGTGAGCGTCTCTCTAAGATGTTACTGTCGGATACATGATGGTATCGTTTGCAAAGAGTCTGATACTAAGATGTTATACCATCATTGATGTACAGGTAGTATAAGAAAAGACTCAGCCCGAGGACGGAGCCTTGAGGGACCCCTGATCTTACTGGGGCAGAATCGGACATTTCCCCCTCTACTACAACAGTCTGGGTTCTGTCACTTAGGAAGCCCTCAATCCAGGTATTGACTGGTCCAGTAATTCCATACCCCCTAAGTTTGTGGATAAGGAGAAAATGACTCACCTTATCAAAGGCCTTACTAAAATCCGAAATCAATACATCTGTCTGTTTACCATCTTCTAAATTTCTTGAGATGTCATCAACAAATTCTAATAGTTGACTCTCACATGACATGGATTGTCTTAAACCATGTTGTAAGGGGTAAAGAATGTTATTGTTATCAGCATGATTCATGATGTTACTACAATATGTTCCAACAACTTCCAACAAATACAAGTGAGAGATAAGGGACGGTAGTTTTCAGGGTTAAAGTTTTGGCCTTTTTTGTAAACTGGGGCAATGTTAGCTGTTCTCCAGTCAGATATGGAACATGACCGGTATCTAATAACCTTTGGAAGATGAGACAGAGAATGGGGGAGATTTCTGTTGCCAGTTCCACGAGTACATTCGGTTTGATATGATCTGGGCCAGCAGCTTTAGAGGTGTCTAGATTAAGACGAAGTTTATAAATACCATTGGGTGTTATTTTAATGTTACCCATCTCAGGGATGTTGTTCTGCATAGGGTATTGCTGCTTAAATGTGGTTGAGCTAATGTTGTCAGCACTGGAAAACACAGACTGGAACTGATTGTTCAATATATTGGCCTTTTCCAAAGGATCTGTATGAAGTTTACCATTTTGTTTCAGTGCCCCTATACACCACTGTAGTCAGTTTTTTGATGTTTTATATATGTCCAGAACCTTTTCATAGGTTTATAGTCCGAGGAATCTGAATTTGGACTGACTATGTCTTCATTATATTTCCAGTAGGCCCGTCTTAATAGTTTTTGGATAAGATGTTTCAGTGATTTGAATTTTTCTTTAATTGATGGATTACCAGAGTTTTTTGCTAATGTTTATATATAGGTTTCTTTTATTTATTAACTTTTTAATTTCATGTGTCGCCCATGAGTTTCTATCTCTTTTTGAGTAGTACCGTATAATACAAACCAGTCAACTTCAAACTAACATGTGATGCGTCATATTAGTGTAGTGTGAATGTGGATCATTCTAACAGGTTGGGCACGATACGGCGCATATGGGTAATAATCCTGCATTTGGGAAACATCTTTGTATGTTATGGTTGAATGCACTTTGAATCTACTTTCACTATCCTATATGTAAAAATCAAAATTTTGTACTTCAATATCTTTATTAAAAATCGCTATGTATATGGTTATTATAAACAACTTTTGGTTGAACGTTTTTTCGTGTTTTGACATTTTCGTGATTTTAGATATTCCGACTTTTCTAAGGCTTCAAAGGTCGTGAAATACTTTCAAAACCGAAAACTGTTCAACCAAAAGTTGTTTGTAATAACCAAAAGATATGGCGATTTTCAATAACGTAAGTGAAGTACAAAATTTTGATTTGTATATAGGATAGTGAAAGTAGATTCGAAGTGCATTCAACCATAACATACAAAGATGTTACCCAAATGCAGGATTATTACCCATATGTGCTGTTAACGTTGTGCCCTACCTGTTCTAAAACAGAGCACACATAAGTACAATGATGAATGATTTTTCCCAGCAACAGATTCAAGTATATTATCAAAAAACTGTACTATACAGGTACATTTTGTATGTATTAAAATGGGTAATGTTATGATTCAATAATTATACTATACTATTGAAACAAATGTACAGTACGAGCTTCGCTCTCTCCAGGCCATGTCCGAGTCATATTAATTACTGCTAAGGGATAAACAAAACTTACGCATAAACAATGTCACCAACAAGACGACGAAATACTTCAAACAGTCCATGTCGTCACCCTCCCTGAAAACGTTTCATGCACAGGAATGAGATTTTGTGATGTAAAATAAGGGTCGGAGTGTATGTCATCGGTCGTACGCAAAATCCGGAATATAATAAATTAAAGCGAATGTTATTTTCTGCATTGAAGAAATAAGGACAGGGGCACGCGTTTTTATCACACCAATTGAAAGAGTCGATATAAATGCAGTCTTGGGTGACCAGTCAAGAGAACAGGGATTTAATAAAGATTAGACGTTTTGACTGTTCCCGCCGCCATCTTGGGTCAGGGGTCAAATTAACTATATCAATATGGGGTTCGACTATTTACAGGAACGGGCAGAAACGGACAGGAATGGGCAGAAACGGGCAGGAACGGGCAGAAATATATTAATTATTATATACATTAATGAATATATATATTAGATATATTTAAGTATCATTATCGGGTATCAGATATAGTTGATAAAAGGATTGCAATTACATGATCGGGGCAGAATCAGACTTAATTATATATATACATGTATGTCGTTATTACCACGGACTTAAGTCCGTGTTATTGCTTATGAGACCTATATTTATAGTATTATATATATTTTTTCGGGTATAAGATATATTTGATAAAAGAATTTCAACGAACTACGAGTATTGTATTGATATGGATCGGGCAGGAACGGGCGACGATTTACAGGAACGGACAGAAACGGGCGACGATTTACAGGAACGGACAGATATATATTTATTGTATATATTTTATTATTCTTATCGGATATAAGCTATATTTGATATAAAAAAAATGCAATTACATGATCGGGGCAGAACCGGACTAAATTATATATATATACATTTATAGTATTATATCTTTTTATCGGGTATAAGATATATATTAAATATATTTAAGTATCATTATCGGATATATGATATATTTGATAAAAGGATTGCAATTACATGATCGGGGCAGAATCGATCTAAATTATATATATTCATATTTATGTCGTCACTGTGAGACCTATATTTATATTATTATTTTTTTTTTATCGGGTATAAGATATATTTGATAAAAGGATTGCAATTACATGATCGGGGCAGAATCGGACTAAATTATATATATATATTTATATTATTATATCTTTTTTTACCGGGTATAAGATATATTTGATAAAATAATTGCAACGAATTAAGAGTATTGTATTGATATGGATCGGGCAGGAACGGGCGACGATTTACAGGAACGGACAGAAACGGGGCGGGATCGGACTTATTTATGTATACTTATTGTATATATTTAATTATCCTTATCGGGTATAAGCTATATTTGATAAAAACAAATGCAATTACATGATCGGGGCAGAATCGGACTAAATTATATATATATATTTATATTATTATATCTTTTTTTACCGGGTATAAGATATATTTGATAAAAGAAGTAATATAAACATTATTCCATTCCAAATTAAGTTGCATTACATCACATAACTTACAATGTGCAAAGGAATGGGATCCGGAAACAAGTGGAAATAATTTATATAAATCCGTTTCCGAGATTTTATCTCATTAATTTAAGGCATGATGGTATAGTTACTGAATTCTATGGAAAGACATATAAACACAAACACTTAAACAGTAACTTACGTTTAAACGTAGTTCAGGGGATATTTGAAATATGAGTAAAAGAAGAGGGGTACAGCGGGGGGG